GCCAGGGCTGAAGCTTTGCGGCTAAAGTCCATAAACCATCGTGACCAGAAGTTGGTGATCAATCTTGTGGTGATTGAATAAACAGCCATCAACGAAAGAAAACTCTTTGTGCTCATTGGGAGAACTACGGTAATTCATCCAAGGCCCTCGGGTACTGACCTTGTACCTCTCGTAACATTCCAGTCTGTCAGCACCAAGAACGAGGGGATTACCGTGGTACAGGTGAGGAGGTAACGACTGTTACACTCCGGTTAATTAACACCAATTAACACCTGTAATTAAGGGGCAAAAAGTACCTTGGATATTCCTTGGTAATCAGCAAAGGAAGAAGGCTCAAAGCCAGCTTGACTGGGTTGGTGCTGCCTTCCTCACAAGCCCTGAGGCGCTGGGCTCCAACCTTTAGCCCATACCTGGGGTCACCTAGAAATGCTGTAATCCACATACTATAGGAATATTTCTGTACTAACTGACAAGTCAGTACTATTCTGTCATTATTATTCAATTAATGTTGATAAACTGAAACATTATTAAGTCAAAAAAGCACAAATTACTGCTTTGACACTTCAAAGGAAATTAAAATCAGTACTGGAATGTTTAAAACCCAATAGAAACATGAGTAATTGGTCTATAGAGAGATAAATGGACAATGAACTGGATACACACCTTGGTTTCTTTCAGATAGAGGGGGACTATCTGAAACTGAAAAGAAAATATGACTATATAATTGCCAAAGGATTAATTTCTTATTATTTTCAGCAGAAGAAACCTCCTGAAATTGGTCACTAGCTACAATGACTAGTAGATAGTGGCAACAGACAACAGAAGGAGTGAGGGTCTGAAATTGGTCACTAGCTACAATGAAAAAAGATTCTGTAGAAAGGGGTCGGCTTATCCACGGGATACACTTTCATGATAGTATTTTTCAGATTGTGATCTGTCAGAAACATCGCCTGAATGACGGTCCGATAGATCACAACTTCCCGAAAGTTTGGAAGTTGCCACGACTAGAGCTATTATTGTTATAAATTATCAATAAAGTTATTATTATACACCAAAGTTGTCATTATTAAAAAAATGTTATGCATGTTACTACTTCCGATAATAAGTTTTCAATTGAATGTTCAAAGTTTATCGTACATCAACAACACAATGTATTGTTCTTGTATATGTACCTGGCTCAACTGTGGAGATAATATCTTCTGCCAAGTCTGATATATCCTCAAGGACTTGAGGCTGCCCTTGACTGACCCATGATGATGATGATGGTTGTGGTTGTGGTGGTGGTGGCGGCGATGGCAGTGATGTGGGTGAAGCAAGCGAAAGGCTTTTTCTTGCCTGTGGTGACTGAATGGTACAAGACTTTCCACTGCCATTGTCCTTCAGATTTTTATTGAGTTCAACATAATACTTAGAAAAAAAGGCCGCCTCCGTGGTCTTGTGGTAGAGCGTCCGCCCGGAGAGCGGAAGGTCCGGGGTTCGATCCCCGGCCGCGTCATACCAAAAGACGTTAAAAGATGGTACTTGTTGTTACCCTGTCTGGCGCTCGGCATTAAGGGGCTAAAACAAGGACTGGTCGGCTCGGAGTCAGTATACTGTGTCTGAGTGGGGTATTCATGTTAAACTGCGGCATGGTATCTCAGTGAGCTAGCACTATAAATCGGCATCAGTCCGGACTAGTACAAGCAGCCACACACACACATACACGTGCATGCACGTCGCTATATAAGTGCAATAATCTTGGACGCGACGTAAAACCCAATTTCACCTCACCTCACCACTTAGAAAAAAAACATGGAAACGAAGCCAAGCTACACACACATATATATTGTACTATTATTAGCATTTATTTTCTAAAACAGAAGAAATGACATGTTTTGACCAAATACTTAAGAGGAAGAAAAGAGCAGAAGAGGAGTTTGTATTTGAACATAACTATATATAGCTGTATCGGCACCATGAAGACCACCATCAAAGTTTTCTCCACATTTGACCTTGAAAAGATGCATGGACATATTTTTTCAAAATGCAGAGATAGTTCAAGGGGGGGGGGGGGGGGGGGGGCTTGTGCTTTTAGGTACTAAATTTGAAGAAAATGCCTACATTTTCAAATACAATGGGGCATTTTAACATTGTGCTGTATGAGCGCACCTCTGGATTATTTGAAATTTTCACATAAAGGGCCCATGTCAGAAAATTCCTGGAGTGAACCCTGAATATGAAATAATATTTCTAACATCACTGTAATCTAAAATCTCACCCGATATACACCCTTTACGCAAGCTCTGCAGGACTTGAAGTTATCAATCTGGGCCTGCATGTGCCTCAACATCTCCTGGTCTTGTTGTCGTAAAAACAAAAGTTGTGACATTTTGTCATCCATTTTGTTAAGCTGAAAATGAGAACTATATGTTACACCAAGTTGTTTCAGTGAGTGAGTGAGTGAGTCAGTGAATTTGAGTTAAACAGAACTTTCAACAGTATTTTAGTCATATCACAATGGTCAGTTTAAATAAGTTTAAATTAGTGCAGGAGGAAAGTCTGCAACCCTCAGGTTATGTTTTGTAAGTTAACTTCCCCCCCAACCGCAGTCATTTGATAAACATTGTTAAGAATTAATTGTGTGTGTTTATGCTGCATTTTCTCTACTTACTTGCAAAATATCTGTCGACGCTCGATTTATATACAGAAATTTTATTGGACTATGCATAGACTCGTTAGTCCAGCCAAATTATAGCTCCATAATTCCAACCAAGTTCAGCAAGGGTGGAAGCTGGACTTTTACAGTCAGTTAGTTCCCTTGCCTCAGGAAGATGCTTACAAACTGATTCATCACACAGATAACACTTAAGTAAAACTAATGTACATCACCTTTTGTACATCCTTATACAATACTAAAACCTTAGATCATGTTCTAAATCAATCTGAAACTTATGAATTATAACAAGTGGTTATACTTAATTGTACCCGATATGAATGTATATCGTGGGTGGTGACATCAGCTAAAATGTCATAAGTGTGTGATTTGACTGTGCGTCTATACTGTTAACTTGGTTAATTATTGTATGGTTAATTCAGTCACCTTCTCATGAAGTTGTTCAATGGAATCTGGCATTCCAGGGCCTATCACAGCCAGTGACTGCAGTCTGTTGCCTGAAGCACGGGCATCTGTCGCCTTCTCCTTTTTCTTGGCCTGATCTTTTTTTGCCTCTTGAGCCTGTAGGCCAATGATAATTATAAGAATTTTCAAAACGTACATCTACCACAACCACTGCAATATATACACCGAATCTGATGATATCCAACATTTAGCAAATCATTTAGCTATTAATTATCTGAATTTTACAAAAACAATTATTTGTAACTCAGACAATTTTGCAGAAATAAATTAAGTGAGTGAGTGAGTGAATATGGTTTTACGCCGCTTTTAGCAATATTCCAGCAACATCACGGCGGGGGACACCAGAAATGGGCTTCACACATTGTACCCATGTCGTGAATCGAACCCGGGTCTTCAGCGTGACGAGCGAACGCTTTAACCACTAGGCTACCCGACCGCCCCAGAAATAAACTAAGAACAGGGAGGGAATTGTAACTCATTACAGTAGCAAAAGAGGTTATAAATAGTGTGTTTTATCTGAAAAGTAGTTAAGTAATCAAAATCTTACCTCTATATCTTTTTGTTTCTCCTGTACATCTATTTTCCTTTTCTTCGGAACGGGCTGAACAGGGTCATCTGCAAATTCAGGTTTCTATTTCATTTCAATTGATCTATAAGTTACAATGTTAGAAAAAGTACAACAAAATATCAGTGTTTGTTAACTGTACATCATTTCCAATAATAATTCAAGCAATCAACGTATATATTCTGAGTTTGGGTGTATATCAATATCCACTTCGATTCTACTGTCATACTACAACCACACCCACAATTCTCATAGATTGAGGCGGCACTCGTGAAGAGCAACCTCCTCGTGGTGAGTGCTGGGTAACGCTAATCGCTCTTCCCCCGTGTGGAACCGGGGCAGAATATTTCCACAGCCTCCCATTGCTGGTCGTATGAGGCGACTAAAATGGGCAACCTGTTTGCCGTGGGTTGCGTCCCTGTGTCGGCGGAGGACGGGAGTCTGGTAGTTGAGGGCACTGGTTCCTGGAACTGTGTTCCTTTGTCCAACACACTACTTCGACCCTTACTTCGCCTAGACGGGTGGTAAGATGGGCCCGGTCTTATCAATCGGCTGGTCATGCCAGGCCCTGTGCGTAATATTGTAAATGCACATATGTGTTGTATTTTGATGTCTATTTTGGCCTTGGCCAAGCATAATTTGTGTGAATTAACTATTTTGGATTATATAAATTGCCTAGAGTCTTACGCCAGAAGGCGGTGGCTCATGGGCCAATCTGGTGATGTTGACCTCCGAATAATATATGTCTCCAACTTCTGTCATTGGCGGAACCAGTCTGGCATAGAGTTGGTAGATAAATGTAGCTATTCGCGTCATATTTGCTGGAGTATAGAACCCCTGTATCCCTGGTGTTTGCATCTTGGATATCCGTTGCAATGTAACACCGTCACTGTTGACGCTCCATGGAGGGTGGGGAGCGGGAGTTCTGAACTACTTTCTGTCATCATGTCTCTCCCACAACTTGGTTCCAATAGAAATGAAAAAAAGAGACGACTAGAAATTGACAATTCAACGGACAGTGTATCTCAAAACATAGATTCGTGGTCTAGATTTCTGGTGATTGAGGCCCAGGATCAATTGCCCCTTAAACTCAACCCTTTTGCGATTTCAAAAGCCGTTTCTGGGATTTGTGGCGAGGTTAAGAATGTCACGCGTCTCCGTGGTGGTTCCCTCTTGGTGGAATGTTTGCGGAGGCAGCAATCTCTTAATCTTTTGTCCATTCATGTATTTGCAAATGTAGAGGTTGTTGTGTCCGCACACAGGACATTGAACTCTTGCAGAGGTATTGTTCGCGATAGAGCTCGTTGCCTGGCTGACATGTCAGAAGATGAAATCACTGCAGAGTTGGAGGATCAGGCTGTCACGGCTGTTAAACGCTTTACCGTCAAGAAAGAGAGTGGCATTCAAAATACAAATACATATATGCTGACTTTTGCACGCTCATCTATTCCCCAATCTATTAAAGCAGGTTATAACAACATCGGAGTGGAGGTGTATGTCCCCAATCCACTCCGATGTTTCACTTGTCAACACTTTGGACATGGTTCAAAATCATGTCGTAACTCAGTGGTTTGTTCTCGCTGTGGTGACGATCATGATGGAACCAGTTGTACAAATGCTGCCAAATGTGCTAACTGTGGCAATGACCATGTCGCCTCATCCAAGTCCTGCCCTGTGTGGCAGACAGAATCTAAAATAATCAAAATTAAATGTGAACAAAACATTTCCTACAATGATGCAAAACAACTTGTAAAAAAACAGTCAACATCTCCCTCAACTTTGCATTATTCTGCAGCTGTTTCCCGTCCTGTCGCTACTTCCTCTATTCATTGTCAGACTGATTTGTCTTGGATTATATCTGATCAACCAGTTCCAACCAAATCAGTTACTCCTCCAAAGTCAGTTGAACATCAGCCTAGTTACTCAATCACTTACTCTACAGCAGAAACTCAGACCAGTAATCAGAATGTGGGTCAATTTGACCCAGCTGTTACAGCACCAGCCGTTGACATCGTCCACTCATCAAAAAAAGGAAAGAAAAAACTGAACAGACAAGCTGCCAGGGTACCCTCTCCACCAGAGGTACCAGTTCACAACTCCTTTGAACCTCTGGACATGGAGGTAACTCCGTCTTTGGAGACCAGAAGGAGTTCCTCTCCCTCACGTTTGCGTGGGAGATCACCAATTGAGCCACCATGAATCAATCTTCAAATTTAATTCAATGGAACTGTAGAGGACTTAGGAATAATTATAATGATTTACAACTCTTAATTCAGGATTTTAAACCATCTGCATTCTGTTTACAAGAAACATATTATAAAGACACTGACAAATTTGATATTAGAGGTTATACCTCATACAATTTCTTTTCACCTCCAGGTGCTAAAGCCACTGGAGGTTCTTCAATTTTAATAAAACACGACGTCATCCATAGCCCCGTTCATCTTACTACTCCCCTTCAAGCTGTTGCAGTCCGTGTAACTTTGCACATAGTTTTTACTTTGTGCTCGTTATATATTCCACCATCTACTTCTCTCCGACAGTCTGAACTTCAAGCTCTCTATGATCAACTCCCCCAGCCCTGTGTTATAATGGGTGATCTCAATGGTCATAATCCACTTTGGGGTAGTGTTCAGACAAATAATAAGGGGAAGCTTTTGGAAGACTTCATTTCAAACAATGACTTATGTATTTTTAACGATGGTTCAAACACATATCTACATCCCGGTACAGGTACTTACTCTGCACTGGATTTATCAGTTACAGGTTCTGCTTTATTAAACGAATTTGAATGGTCTGTCCATACAGACCTATGTGGCAGTGATCATTTTCCAACCATTTTAAAACCTGTCTTGCCTTCAGATGTTCCTCCTTCAACACGATGGAACTTCAATAAGGCCAACTGGCCTTTGTTTGAAATGCTTGCATCCACTAAATTAAAACCTGATCTGTTTCTTGACGCTACTGATCCTGTGCAATTATTTTCAGATGAATTGAACAAAATAGCAGATGAATGTATTCCTAAGTCCTCTACAAATCATCATATCCGTAAACCATGGTTCAATAATGACTGCAAACAAGCTAGGAAGGCACGGAAAAAGGCTGAACACTATTTCCGTCGCCATCCCATGGTCCATAATTTGAATAAATATAAAATCTTAAATGCTAAAGCCAGGCGTACGTTTAAACAAAACAAACGGCAATCTTGGCAACATTATGTTTCCAAGATAAACTCGCGAACGCCCATGTCCAAAGTATGGAACATGATACAAAAAATTAAAGGTAAGGGTTCTAAATGTAGCGTCCATCATCTTAAGAATGGGGATGAACTACTAACTAATAAATCGGATATTGCAAATAAACTAGGTGAAACGTTAGCTAAACATTCTTCTTCCTCAAATTATGTCCCTCAATTCCAAAAATTTCAAAAACAGCAGGAAAAGAAAACTATAAATTTTAAATCAGATAATGGGGAAGATTATAATGAAATATTTTCGATCCATGAACTTCATACAGCTCTTGGACAAGCTCATGATACTGCTACAGGAGCTGATAATGTACACTATCAACTCCTGAAGCACTTACCAGAACAGTGTTTAGAAACCCTTTTGTTGATTTTTGATGATATATGGACATCAGGTAAGTTTCCTTCTTCCTGGCGTGATGCCATAGTTATACCCGTACCGAAACCTGGACGGGATCACAGTGATCCCTCAAATTATAGACCCATTTCATTGACCAGTTGCGTTTGCAAAACCATGGAACGCATGGTCAACAATAGATTAACATGGTACTTGGAATCAAATAATTTACTTACAAATATCCAGTGTGGCTTTCGAAAGAATCGCAGTACCGTTGACCATTTAGTACGGTTAGAATCATTTGTGAAAAATGCAATCATTAATAACCAGCATGCAGTGTCTATCTTTTTCGATTTAGAAAAAGCGTATGACACAACGTGGAAACACGGGATTTTAAAGGATTTACATGATTTTGGATTGAGAGGCCGTTTGACTGAATTTATATCCAAGTTTTTAACTGGCAGACAATTTCAGATCCGCGTGGGTTCTACCCTGTCTGATCATTATCATCAGGATCAGGGTGTCCCACAAGGCAGTATTTTGTCTGTAACTTTATTTAGTATAAAAATAAATAGTCTTTCAAAGGTTTTAAGTGATTCAGTAGATGGATCCCTTTTCGTGGATGATTTTAATGTTTCTTGTCGAGGTAAAAATATGCATACAATAGAGAGGCAGTTACAAATCTGTCTCAATAAAATTCAAAAATGGTCCCTCGAAAACGGGTTTAAATTTTCGAAATCAAAAACTAATTGTATACATTTCTGCAGAAAATATAAGCCGCATAAGGACCCTGAACTATATTTAGATGGCACCCCTATCAAAATTGTTCAAGAGGCCAAATTCTTGGGCCTTATTTTTGATAGTCATTTAACTTTCCTTCCGCATATTAATTACCTTAAAGCTAAATGCCTGAAGGCACTCGATTTGTTGAGAGTAGTTTCAAATTCTAAGTGGGGAGGGGATCAAACAACCCTCCTACACTTGTACAGGTCATTGATCCGTTCAAAACTCGATTATGGCTCCATCGTATACGGTGGAGCCTGCAAAAGTAACTTAAAAAAACTGGATACTGTCCATCATCAGGGCCTAAGGCTTTGCCTTGGAGCCTTTAGGACGTCACCAATTCACAGTCTGTATATAGAAGCAGATGAACCTTCTCTTAAACATCGCCGTCTGAAATTATCGTTACAATATGTTACTAAATTATATTCAAATCAGTCAAATCCAGCTTTTAACTGCGTCTTTAATCCTCTTTACCAAGATATTTATAATAAAAAATCGTCTGTTGTTCCACCACTTGGAATCAGAATCCAGTCTGACATGTCTGCCGCAAATATTAAATTGCAAGATATAGCTCCCTTTCAACTGTTTACATCACCTCCTTGGCAAATGGTAAGGCCAGAGGTAGATCTTTCCTTAACAAAATTAAAGAAGTCAGTTACTAACCAATTAATTTATCAACAAGAATACCATCAATTAAGAAACACTTACGACACTTATAAATCTATATTTACAGATGGATCCAAGGATGGTGGCACAGTTGCTAGTGCCACCGTCATTGGATCCAGAACATTATCTTCACGATTAACTGATAGCAGTTCCATATTCACAGCAGAGGCAAATGCCATTTTTACAGCACTAAAATATATCAGTAATCAATCAAAACATACACAATTCATTATTTTCTCTGATTCACTTTCATGCCTTCAGGCAATTAAAAATATGTCATCCAAACATCCACTTTTAATCCAAATTCTCGAATTATTTAATGATCTTGCTACTGGCCAATATGACATCGTCTTTTGTTGGTTACCAAGTCATGTTGGCATCACTGGTAACACAATGGCCGATGCTGCTGCTAAAGCAGCACTCACCAAATCTGTGACACCACTTCTCATACCCTACACTGATTATAAACCTGCAATTAGATCTTACATTCGTGATCTGATGCAAAAGAAGTGGGACACCCAAGTAGGTATCAATAAATTACATGAAATTAAACCAAATATCGGTTACACCTACTTGGGCTGTCAGTCCAGATTTGAAGAGGTCATTATGCGACGATGTCGTATTGGCCACAGCAGATACACACATGAATATTTATTAAAAGGTGAGGATCCTCCGTTTTGTATCCCTTGTGATGAAAGAATCACGGTCAAGCATGTCCTGCTTGACTGCATTGATTTTTCCATCACAAGGGATAAACATTTCAATTCGTCATCTATTAAGGATCTTTTTAGCAGTATCGATTCTCGTTTAATCATTGGTTTTTTAAAAGAAATAGAGTTGTGTGCAAAATTTTGATTGTGTTTTGTGAAATATAAATATTTTATGATCGGTAGATTAAATTAGCAACTGAGAATGTTAGTGGCTGTATCCTCGAGGGGGGTTAAAGTACTGTAAAATTATTGTCCTCCTGAGAGGGTACATAAGTTCCACTTCTTTCAAGGTAAATTTAGAACTATCGTGTTTTTAATCGTAGAATATGTGTCATTTTAAGATGTAAGGCTAACTCTGCCAATAATCGCCACCACTTGAAGGGATGATGTAAATCCTGCTGGGACCCATGCAGGTAGCTAAGGTACTGTAAGTCCCCATGGTCCCCAGTGTGGTGATCTCCCTTCAGGGGCTGGCGATCTATAGCCCGTTTTTATCATGTTATTGTTATGTATAAGTGTTATCCTTTTTTATGATCCCATACTAGTTTTAAAATCTTTTTCTGTGATAAGTCTAGTACTTTTTACTGTCCTTCGTTGGCAGGTTTTTATATAAGTATAATTGTATTTATAAACATAAAACCTTGATAGTCACGATATGGCTGCAATATTGCCGATGTGACTTTAAATATAACTCACTCACTCACTCATAGATTGAGGCACTCGTGAAGAGCAACCTCCTCGTGGTGAGTGCTGGGTAGCGCTAATAGCTCTTCCCCCGTGTGGAACCGGGGTAGAATATTTCCACAGCACCCCATTGCTGGTCGTAAGAGGCGACCAAAGTGGGCAGCCCGTTTGCCGTGGGTTGCGTCCCTGTGTCGGCGGAGGACGGGAGTCTGGTAGTTGAGGGCACTGGTTCCTGGAACTGTGTTCCTTTGCCCAACACACTACTTCGACCCTTACTTCGCCTAGACGGGTGGTAAGATGGGCCCGGTCTTATCAATCGGCTGGTCATGCCAGGCCCTGTGCGTAATATTGTATATGCACATCTGTGTTGTATTATAATGTATAGTTTGGACTTGGCCATGCATACTTTGTATGAATTACCAATTTTTGATGGAATAAATTGCCTAGAGTCTTACGCCAGAAGGCGGTGGCTCATGGGCCAATCTGGTGATGCTGACCTCTGTATTCTGTATGTCTCCAGTTTCTTGTCATGGACTGAACCTGCCTGGCACTTCATCTGGTAGATAAATATAGCTATTCACGTCATATTTGCTGGAGTATAACATCCCTGTATCCCTGGTGTTTGCATGCTGGAAATCCGATGCGCTACAACACTGTCCTTGTTGACACTCCATGGGGGGTGGGGAGCAGGTATGCTGAAACACTTTTCTTTCGCCATGTCTACCAAACAACCTGGTTCAATTCGTAACGATAAAAAAAGACGTCTTGAAGATGA